AGAGTGGAGGGAAAGTGTTATTTCAATACTTTAAACTATGAATTTATTTGTTACAGCCTTCAAAATTCGGCTACATACATTAGAGTATCTTCAATGGTTGTTACTATAATAATATTATTATTGTTATAATTTGGCAATAAATAATGTTATTTTGCCAAATTATAATAATGATACTTTGATGGTCACTTGCTATTTTGGTAATTCTCAATCAACTTTCCCTCTAAATTTGTAGGTGTTGTTTGGATATAAGTTTTTTTTGTGATTTTATTTTTGTTTATTTTTTATCTTTTGTGACCTTTTTTTAACTATTTGTAAAAAAAATTATATATTTATATTATTCCCGACAAAACAAATATAAAAAATTAAAAAAAAAAATTGGATTTTTTTTTTTTTTAGTGAAATGGCATGTTTTTGTGACCTTAGTTTTCTACTGTTTCAATTTTGTTTTTTCAACTGAATTTGGAGTCACAAATCTGTTCATATTTGCTAATATAGCATCTTTGGCAATTGCTATTCTACTTGCCAAATTTGAGAACAGAAATGACATATGTCATCTTTGACAAGTAGAATAGCAAGCCATTGGAGACTTACTTTTTGTTGCTCTTGCCAAATTATAGCTTTGGCAAGTAATTTGACAGCTCCATTGGAGATGCTCTTAGTATTTAGGGTATATTATATCTCCTAAGATGTATTTAATATATGAAGTAATCCCTATAATTTTAGTAATTATATTTCGTCATTTCGAATTTTAATTGCATAATAAATAATATCTTTTATTAATAAATTATAAAGTTAATTAATATTTTTTAATGATATCATAAATAAATTTTAATTAACAATTTATATAATTGTCTTGTTTTATATGAGAGTAATTAGAAATTTCATTTTTCTGTTAATTTTGTTACATAAAATTTTTTGACAAGGAATATTTGTAATTTACAAAATCACATAAGACAATTCATATTTTAAGCAAATTTTAGAGATATATTTATAATTTATTCGTAGTATTTAATAATAATATGTATATATATTAAATTATAGTTTTATTACTCAATAAGCTACTAATTTATTGTAAAAATGTTTCTTATTAAATATTATGTTAATGGTAGGTTGATTAAGGTATTGTTAACCTGTGCTTTTGAAATACATGATTAAAAAAAATTGAAATATTATATAATTTTTATTATATGCACTTTCATATATAATACATAATTTTTTAAAAAAATTTATAATATATTTTAAGATAGGGCACACCTTTTTTCTTTTTTCTTTTTTTTTTTTTTTTTTTTTTTTTTTTTTTTTTTTTTTTTTTTTGGTTGTGTGTGGGAAGGCTGCGGAAAGAAGCCCAAAAAAGTGAAAGGCTTCCAAGAAGCCCAAGAAACTTGTTAAATTCATTATGCCACCTTGACTTATTTTCTTTCATTTTTTTGTAGGGGAGGACTATTGAAGCCCAAGACCGATGGTGACATTTGCCTTTCTCTTTGCCACACATAACAATGTAAACATACTCTTTCGGCCCAATTTTAGTGTAACCATACTTTTGAAGCCCAAGACCAACGGTGACATATGACTTTTGATATGGGCTTCTCCAATATCCATATCTATCCACCCACATGACATGGGCCGGATCCCCTCCCTTCCCTTCCAAAGGTTCACAAGCTATAAAGGTGAGTAAGGAATCTATGAAATTCATAATTTGATCCAGTTCAATCTAATCTGGTAGGTTTAGATTGGTTTTTTGAATCCGTGGTTCGGTTTCGGATTGAAGAATTAAAAATCCGTAGTTCACGGATTGGTTCCGGATTGAACCCCACGGTTTCGGATTGAAACCGATCCGGACCATATACGAATAGTCTATATTTTATTATACATCCTCCCTCATAATATCTTCTCTTATTCTATACAAAACCTAAACTCAAACCTAAACCCGCATAATATCTTCTTTTATCACCTTTGTTTGTTAGTTTTTAGTTTTAATTTGTAATATTATAAATACTTATGGCGAAACTAGTTTTCTTATGGTTGTTTAAATTTTAGAACAGTATTTCGCTATTATAGAAAGACATGTTTCTATTGTGGAACTAATACAGCGCTATGTTTATGTTTTTATGAAATTAAAGTGTTATATATATATATATATATATATTGTTATTTAATTATGTGAATCCGTAGTCCTAAACCGATTCAATCCGTATTTAAATGGATTGATTCGGATTGATTCCATGATTTAAACGAATTGGATTGGTTCCAATTTCCGTATTTAAATGGATTGATTCGAATTGATTCCATGATTTAAACGAATTGGATTGGTTTCAATTTTTTCAAGAACCGTAAATAATGAATTGATCTTGGTTTTATTCCAATTCAATTCAATCCGGGCCATACTCACCCCTACTATATACTTTAACTTTACATAATAAAATAAGGGTACCCTATGCGAGATATAATATTTGTGGGATTGACTTATAAATGTTATAATTAAATCTTTTAAATGTCATAACTTTAAAAAAAAAATTTGGGTGCCTTTTAACCACCAACAGCTTATATTAAAAAATGAGTCATAATAAATATCATATAAGGTAGAATTAAAAATATTTTTTATCAGAATTAAAATAAGAATAATGCTTGGGACCCCCTTTTGGGGGTCACCCCCTCACCCCCTTTGCCACGTGAAGGGTGGTGATTGGAGGAGCAGGAAAAAAAAGAAAAAGAAAAGAAAATATAACCAATGAGAGAGAGAGGGGGGGTCAAAGGGGGTGGGGAGAAAGGAGGATGAATCATTGTTGTTAAAATAATATTATAATTATCATCACAATGACCAATAGCTAATACCATAATATGTATAACCATGTCATAACCAAATCATAACTAACACTATAATAGGCTATAACTAAAAATCATAAGCAGTTAGTTATAACTAAAAATCATTAGCATTGTAACTGGGATATATGGTACACACCCATAGTCTAATTTTCCAAAATAGATTTATATTTTCTCATTTTTCTCGAAAAGGCAAACAACATAATCTTGCTCTAGATTTGATCTCCACCATACAATGGTAAACGGATCGAGTTGTACCTAGTAATCGACTATTCAAACTTGGATTACAAAAAATTAATTAATTTCAAAATGTGTTAAGCTTAACTTATTTATTTTAGTAAATTTTTTATGGTCCATACAAATTTATCGAGCCATGTAATTAGATTTCACAATTAACTTAAAAACTTAATAAATTTTAAAATAAATTAAATTTAGTTTGTTTAGATAACACACTAATTTCGTACAAAAATTTAAGAAATTGAATGACACAAATTTGCTTTAAAATCCTATTTTCTTACCAAAAAAGCCTTAATCCAAAAAATCACCCTTTGAAATATTTGACAAGTATAGAGATCTTTGTTTAATAATTAGTTACATTACATATTTTCCCCTCATGTTAATTCACAGTTAATTAGAGTAACACGAATTGTTGCCAAAAGCAAATAATATAAGTAATTATTTTTTTATTAATAATTCATTAATTATATAAATTGAAAGATAATTTATTTTTTTTACACTAACTTATATATTTTATCTTATTTATCTTTTTAATTTCACACCATCTGCATTATTCCGATCCTTGTAATTTTATTTCAAAAAAAATATCAATATAATTATATCAAAATTATAGAATTTTTTTGTAATTTTTTCAAATATGAAGGTGAATATAATTTAACCCAAATTCAATGCATTTTTCTAAGTGACTTGAGAAAGCAGGAAAAGTTATTGGTTGGTTTTGGAACACTGTCAGGAGGTGCCCCAATGGTGTTGTGATTGGTGGAAGAAGTAGAGTTCACGATTTTGTGTTGAATGATTGGAGAACAAATAGAACATGGAAATTTGTGATTGCTAAGGAGTACCACCACCTTATGCCCCTAGACCAACCAATAATTTTTCAGAAAACAATCAATTTGTTTGGTTTGCATTTTTAGGATGCACCTTTCAAAAAATTAAATTTTTTTATTTTTCATATTTTTTGATTTTCACTGAATTTTTTTCATATTATAGCAATTTTTTTTTTTAATTTTTAGATATGCCTAATATAAATACATTTAAAAAGTATAATATTTGTATAAAAAAATTAGAAAATTCACTAAATACCAAAAATATTTTTAAAAAAAATACGAGAATTCAGTACATTTTTCCTATTCTTGTATATTTATTGATTTTTAAAATATTTTTTTTATAAATTTTTTACTTTTCGATACATCTAAATAAGGTACATTTAAAAAAAGTAAAAAATTATTTAAAATTTTAAAAATATTTACTTAAAAAAAAACATAAAAAATAAAATACTTAATTTTTAAAAAATTAAATTCAAAAAATTAAAATCAAACGATATTTCATAAAGACAATTAGTTTAATAATTGTTTAACACGGTAAAATTTCCGAATTCAATTCTCATGATAAAAAATTTAATTAGTGTATATGGTTTGAGTTTTTTGGATTAAGTTTTTTGAAAATTAAGTTTTTTTAGTTTTCATATTTTTTTGTTTTTAGTGAATATTTTTAAAATTTTAAACATTTTTTTAATTTTTTAGATGCACCTTACTTAGATGTATCTAAAAAGTAAAAAAATTGTGAAAAAATATTTTAAAAAATTAATAAATTTAAAAAATATATTAAATTCTTGTTTTTATATTTTTGATATTTAGTGAATTTTTAAAAGATTTTTTTATAATTTTTTTACTTTTAAGTGTATCTAACAAAAAGTAAAAAAATTATTTAAAATATTAAAAAAATTAATAAAAATAAAAAAAATGAAAAATAAGATAATAGAATTTTTTGAAAAGTATTTTTGAAAAAAATGAAACCATTTGACTTGGTGGCCTGGCTAGGGGCGGTGAGTGTAATTTACACTAAACCATTTCATCCGAAAAGAATATTATAATTGGTCAAAACTGTTATATATCGTATCAAACGGTTGAGAAGAACATTCTTGAATAACTACAAACGCGGCAAGCAAGCCCGATTTAAACCACTCCCTCATTCTCTTCTCTCTATAACCGCCTCGATCTCTCTCCTTCCCTCTCTATATACCATCTTTTCTATAACCCTAGCTCTCGTTCTCTCTATCTCTCGCTCTCTCACACACACACTCATCGAAGAACAAGCAATGGCTGGAAAAGGAGAAGGCCCGGCGATCGGAATCGATCTGGGGACGACCTACTCGTGTGTAGGTGTATGGCAACACGATCGCGTTGAGATCATAGCCAATGATCAGGGCAACAGGACCACGCCGTCTTACGTCGGCTTTACTGACACTGAGCGATTGATCGGCGATGCAGCCAAGAACCAGGTCGCTATGAACCCCATTAACACTGTCTTTGGTAAGCTATTCACCCCTCTACATCTCAAATCTCTCTCTCTCTTTATATATATATATATATATTGTATGCGTAAATATGCAGTCAGTGTCATTGCAGATACGAGTTGAATGATTTTTTTATTTTTTATTTGTGATCGATCTTATTTTATCTTTGAGCGGTGTTTTTATGTAGTTTTTTAAACTTGTGAGTTGATAATTGTGTCCTGGTTTGTTTTAATCAAACTTTTCCGTGTTAAGTGCTAAATAAGTCATTTTCCTTTCTGAACTTTTTTTATCTGATTTTTTTTTTTTTTTTTAATTTGTGTCCAAAAAAAAAATTCAGATTCGTAAGATTCTATCTATATAGAAGTGAAGTATAAAAACTTTTTTTGAAGGTTAATGTTTAAGGGATATCTACAGATACATTTAATGGGATTCATAGCATAGTTATCAGAATTTTGATTCGGATCTTACGATCCTACGATCTTACGATCTATTTAAGTACAATCGATCCGGATCGTGTAAAAAACTCCTTATAGGTAGGATCTTTCGATCGGGAGGTTACCGTTTTTGAACAAGTGGAAGTGCATTTATTCATGATCACTCACCTCAGAGCATAGTTATCAGAATTTTGATTCGGATCTTACGATCCTACGATCTTACGATCTATTTAAGTACAATTGATCCGGATCGTGTAAAAAACTCCTTATATGTAGGATCTTTCGATCCTGATAGTGGGATCTTATAGGATCGTAGAATCCCGATCCGAATCCCATCCAATTTACAAGCCTTATTTTGTATTGTATGACATATTTTATTGTAAATTTTATGTTTGTTGTCTAAATACCAATTTATGTGGTCAAAATAAATAATAAAAATTAAGTAGTATTGAATCAAATAGACTAAGAAAAACAAACTAGAAAACAAACATTCAAATATTGCGGTAATTTAAAAAAATTAAATAGTCGGAAAAACAAACATAGCTTTAGCAGAGTCTAAGGAGGGTAAGATGATTGCAATTTTATCCCAATTTTTGGAGAGATTATTTTTGTGACTTGAATCCGCTCCACCAGGGATGTTAACGACAAACCTTATCATTCGGTTAAGTTATTCTTTTGAGTTTTTAATATATTTTCATATCCAACTTTGTTAAATATTTTTTCTTCACTTTTTATGCATTATTGTAGATTGTAAAGTATTTTGTTATAGAATTCTTCTTCTTCACCTTCTTTTTGGATGAAATACAAAACTTTTACCATTGAGTTTCTATAATATTATATGTACATTTTACACGGCTTTTTCGGTAGGATCTTACGATCCTCGATCCGATTCTACGATCCGATCCTATCAACACCTCCAACGATCCAACGTAGGATCCCGATTTTAACAACCTTGCCTGAGAGATTATCTGTGCACATATGATTTTCATTCAAAGCACATACTTTGGGTGGCCTTGTAGATTTTGTTAATGGAAAGCCCATATCAGCTTCAACTAGGTTTCTCCGTATTAGAGTAGGTGTTTGTGAAGTTGCTATTTTAGTATACTATTTTAGTAGGTTAAAATTTTTATGTTTGGAAAGATGATTGGATTTTTTTGAAATTGGATTTGTTTGTGAGAGAAAAAATGAAATAATTGTAGGTTTGATGTAACATTTTGTCCTATTTTGTTCTTTTATGAATTTTAGCCTAAATTAAATTAAAATCTCACTTCCCAAACAACCCAGAGCATGGTTATCTTTGGACGGATAATTTGATGATTTTGAAAGCTTTTTTCTCTGGGTTGGTCTCACTGTAACTTGGTATTTTCAAGTTGTAATGCTTATGTTTATGTTTTCACATTGTCAGATGCAAAACGTCTCATTGGGAGGAGATTTAGTGATGCCTCTGTCGTGAGTGATACTAAACTATGGCCCTTCAAGGTTATACCTGGTCCTGGTGACAAGCCAATGATTATTGTCAACTACAAGGGTGAGGATAAGCAGTTTGCCGCTGAGGAAATCTCCTCTATGGTTCTCACAAAAATGAAGGAGATTGCTGAGGCATTCCTTGGATCAATTGTGAAGAATGCTGTTGTCACTGTTCCTGCTTACTTCAATGACTCACAACGCCAGGCTACCAAGGACGCTGGTGTTATTTCTGGGCTCAATGTCATGCGTATTATCAACGAACCTACTGCTGCTGCCATTGCCTATGGTCTTGATAAGAAAGCTACCAGTGTTGGTGAGAAGAACGTTCTCATCTTTGATCTTGGTGGTGGTACTTTTGATGTTTCCCTGCTCACCATTGAAGAGGGTATCTTTGAAGTGAAATCCACGGCTGGGGATACTCATCTTGGTGGAGAGGATTTTGATAATAGGATGGTTAACCATTTTGTTCAGGAGTTTAAGAGAAAGCACAAGAAGGATATTAGTGGAAACCCCAGGGCACTTAGGAGACTGAGGACTTCTTGTGAGAGGGCAAAGAGAACTCTCTCTTCCACTGCTCAGACCACCATTGAGATCGACTCTCTGTTTGAAGGAATTGACTTCTATTCCACAATAACCCGTGCTAGATTTGAGGAGATGAATATGGATCTCTTTAGAAAGTGCATGGAGCCTGTGGAGAAATGTCTGAGGGATGCTAAGATGGACAAGAGCACTATCCATGATGTTGTTCTTGTTGGTGGATCTACCAGAATTCCAAAGGTACAACAGCTTTTGCAGGACTTCTTTAATGGGAAGGAGCTGTGTAAGAGCATCAACCCTGATGAGGCAGTTGCCTATGGTGCTGCTGTGCAAGCCGCTATTTTGAGTGGTGAGGGCAACGAGAAGGTCCAAGACTTGTTGTTGTTAGATGTCACTCCTCTCTCCCTTGGACTCGAGACTGCTGGAGGAGTCATGACTGTTTTAATCCCAAGAAACACCACCATCCCTACCAAGAAAGAACAAGTGTTCTCAACCTACTCCGACAACCAGCCCGGTGTTTTGATTCAAGTATATGAGGGTGAGAGGACAAGAACCAGAGACAATAACCTGTTGGGTAAATTTGAGCTCTCAGGTATCCCTCCAGCCCCTAGGGGTGTGCCTCAGATTACCGTGTGCTTTGACATTGATGCCAATGGTATTTTGAATGTCTCTGCCGAGGACAAAACCACAGGGCAGAAAAACAAGATTACAATCACCAATGATAAGGGTAGATTGTCTAAAGAAGAAATTGAGAAGATGGTTCAAGAAGCTGAGAAGTACAAGTCAGAGGATGAGGAGCACAAAAAGAAAGTGGAGGCGAAGAATGCATTGGAGAACTATGCCTATAACATGAGGAACACAGTGAAGGATGAGAAGATAGGTGCTAAGCTCAGCCCATCTGACAAGAAAAAGATTGAAGACTCTATTGATCAGGCCATTTCATGGCTCGATAGCAACCAACTCGCGGAGGCTGATGAGTTTGAGGATAAGATGAAGGAGCTCGAGAACATCTGCAACCCCATCATTGCTAAAATGTACCAAGGTGGTGGTGGTGAGGGTGGTGCGCCCATGGATGATGATGTTCCTCCTGCTGGTGGAAGCGGTGCTGGGCCCAAGATCGAGGAGGTGGACTAGGTCAGTGGTTTCTGTTAGTGAAGTTACTTTTTAGTATCTACTACTAGTCTACTTCTATATGAGATAGTCTGATTGGGAATTTTGAATTGGATCCTGATGGCATTTTTATAATTAGGAGTCATCAATTTTGATTTTTCAAGGATGGTTTAAATTTTTGTTTTGCGGCTTTGCTTTTGTTTCAGACTTATTAATGAATAGTGATAAATTGGTGAAATAGTCTATTGTCTACAACTTGTTTTAGATCTTCAATATTTGAATATTATGCCTCTCTCTCAGTTTTTGGTAGTTCAGAAAATATATCCTTCTATATCCTTGATTATGTTCTTGAACACACTGGATAAAGTTCTTACATGGAGTATTATTAATACCGTATTTGGTTATATCTGTTATTCTGAAAATTAAGTTTTTTTTTTTTTTTTTGGGGGGGTGTCTTTCTTTGTTTTTAGTAAATTTTTTTAATATTTTATGCAAAAAATAAAAATAAATTAAATACACTTAATCTTTTTTTGAATGCGAAATACCCCTAATCTAGATAACTTAAAAAATATAATATTTTTGAGAAAAATAACTTTAAAAAATTCACCAAATACAAAAAATAACAAATACTTTCGTATTTTGTTGTGTTTAATGAATTTTTTAAAGATTTTTAACCAAATTTTATACTTTTAAGTATAAAGATTAATTGGATCTAAAAAGTTAAAAAAATTGATTAACATATTTTTAAAAAATCACTAAAAATACAAAAAATAGGAATTAAAAATTTTAAAAATTATTTTTGAAAACTTCAAATTCAATTGTTATATGCTAAAGATGGAGAAAGATACAACTAGTGGTGGGCAACGGCTCTTGTGGCCTGGCCAGTCTAGCCCAGCCCATTGGCCCTCAAGTTTGGACTAAATTGAGCAAAATTTTTAGGCCTGTTAGTTTTTGAGTTGGGTTTGGGACTCAACTTTATAGCCTGGCTCAGTCCAATAATAAATTGTTTATTTATTTATGCAATTAAAAATTTATATATACAAAAAAATATAGTAATTGTTTAATTATTTCAATGCTGACATGTAACTCCTACCATCTTTTACATTACTACAGTTTTTTTAAATCATTGTTGTATGATCAATAAATGACTATGTTTGGATTATATATTTAATGTATTTTGTTATTTTCTTTTATAAAAAAAGGCCTATATTTGTATTGGTTAACTGGGGTGGGCTTGAAAATTATATTTCGTTTAGGGCAAGTTTGGAATAACTATTTAGGCCCGATATTTGGGTTGGGCCAAACTTGAATAAATGTAAAATCTCTTAATAGGTAGTGCAAGTCTAACCTAAACTTGGCTTGACTTGATTGATGTCCACCCTTAGATACAACACCACCACCAACCCCGACCTTTTTCACACTATCAGTTGTGTCATTCCCGCTCCACCCTTATTTGGCCACCAGAATGGGTCACAATACAAATCTAATATCCAAATCTGTCATTTCTTGAGAGTTAGGAAGAGAAGAGGAATAAGGCGTTGGGAAAATGTGTACAAAGGGTAAAATAGGTATTTTCAAAAATATAATTGCTAACATTAGCAAAATTGGTTAATTGACCAATAACTGAATAAAGTTAAGGGGTTATTGGTTATGTGGTTTAAAACCTCAGTGGAGAGATAATTCCCAAAACCAGATGCATAGGTAAGCTTCTATTTACATAAAACTTTATTTCTTATGTCTATTTTCTAATTGCACTCTTCTCCAAAATTCAAAATTTTTTATTTTATTTCATCACAGATTCTATATTTCCAAAAATACATGGGATGCCAAAAAAAAAAACTCTAACGCTGTGTTTGGTTGGGGGATTTGGGAAGGAAAATGGAAAAGGAAATGGAAATGAAAGGAAAAGGAGAAAGAATTAATAGAATTCCAAATCCCAACTATGTTTGGTTGTGTTGGTTATAAAATAGAATTGATGTCCTAAAAGGTATCCTATTTCTTTATTTATTTCTCACCCCCTTTCTTTTCCCATATATTTTTTATTATAACCAAACATAAATAAGATTACATTTCTCATTCCTTTTCCAAATCCCACCTCAAAAACTCCAACCAAACACAGCATAAATGTCTATTTTGGAAATTCTTGTAGAATGAAACTATTCACATTCTAACATTATTTGAATCTCTTAATATAATCTTTTAAACTCTATTTTGTTAGAGTTTCATTCTGTGATAAGATATAAAAAAAAAAAAAAAATACTTTATTCATATTTCACTTACTTTTTACTTTTCCTTTTTAAATTTTCTAATGAAATACAGTAGTAATTGGCCCTTTGTATATGATAGCGGGTTTCAATTCCTATGTTAATGTATTGAATAAAATGACAAGCCTATAGACTTGACCTAATGCATTTTTTTTATAATTTAAACAACAATAGTGTTGTTTGTTGTTATTGGCAAATGTCTACTCTATTAATTTTTTGGGGGGATAAAAACAAACTGTCATTTTTTACAAAGTTTCGTGCTAAAACTGATCCTATTTTTTGTCTATTTCTTTGTCCCGCTTGATTTGAGTGTTTAGACTATGTTCAGTGCATGCAAACTAACCATGTTATATTTGACTGAGAGAAACATCATTTATGCAGACAAAAAGTAACGCTATTTGTTTTCACAATAAAAATATTTTTCATAAAATTTTTTAAATAAATTACACTAACATTCATTGAATTTTTAAAAAAATACAACTAATTTCATAATTTTAATATAATTATATCAATTTCATTTTTAATAAAGATAAAGAAATCCATGCAAATGATGTGGCAATGCAAAGATAAATAAGGCAAAATATATACATTGATAAATAAGGTAAAATATATACATTTTAGAGAAAAATCAAATATAATTTACCAAAAAAAATTTAAATATTTTCATAAAAAATATTTTTCCATATATGGTTGCAATCTTGAAACTAATACACTAATAGTAATATTAATAGTGGTTAGGGCTGGGCAACGGGTTGTCCAACCTGCCCAACCCGCCCAAATCTGACCATACTTGCAACGTTTTGGTTGAGTTTTAGATATGAAAAAATTGCTAGTTGCAAGCGAGTTGTGGGTTACACTCAACGCACCCGCATTATTAAATAAATAAAAATTCTCTAACCTCCCACATAGGCTGTTCATTTTCTCAAATCTTTTTATCTCAACTTCATTACCTTTCCCCACTTTTATGAAGCCTTTGTGCCTATTGAAAGTACTAAAAAAACAATGTGGGATTAGGAATGGCAATAGGGCGGGAGATCACCTTTCCCGTCCCCGATCCCCGATGGCCAAAACTTCCCCGTCCCCGTCCCCGGCCCCGATCCCTGACGGGGAACCTATCACAGTCCCCATCCCCGTCCCCAACGGGGATCGGGTTTCCCTGACTCCGAAAATTCCCCGATCCAACTCTATTTCAACATTCAACACCATCAACAGATAAAAAAAACAACACGAGATCATTATCAGCATCGATCATCAACATAGATCAATAAAAAAAACAACAGATAAAAAAAAATAAATTACAGATCATCATCAACAGATCAAAAAAAAATTGCAGATCATCATCAACAGATCAAAAAATCAATAACAGATAAAAAAAGAATAACAGATCTTACAGATCTGAGCTGATAAGGCCGGCGGAGGAGGATATCGGTGGAGGAGGGCAGCAATGGAGATCGGCGAAGGAGATTGGCGAATGAGGACGGCGGTGGAGATCAACGCTGTGCTGCATTCTATAGCGGCTCTCTTCTTTCTTTCTCTCCCTCCTCCACATTTTTCTCACGACACGAAGCTCTCTCTCATCGCCAAAAATGGCGATCAGAACACTGAGTGAGGGACTAAAATCGGTGAGATATAAGAGAGAGAGAGTAGAGGAAAGAGCGACGCGGCTGTGAGGGAGGAGCAACGGCTGTGGTGAGGGAGAGTGAGCGAGCAGCAGCGAGGGAGCATCAGAGAGAGCGAGAGGCAAGTGTTTTGTGCGTGAACCTATAACCATAAACTCAGTCCAACAATGAGAAACACACACATATATATAGAGGGGTACAAATGTAATTTCATTTTGGGAAAAACGGGGCCGGGGACGGGGCTGTGAAGGCTATCCCGTCCCCGCTCGAAACTGATTGAGGATTTAATTTTAAATACCATCCCCGGCCCGTTGGGGATATTTTTCGAGAAAAAACCGCTCCCATCGGGGATGGGGGAGTGGGTCCCCGTCGGGCCGGGTTCAAATTGCCATCCCACAGTAGGATACAAAATAATGAAAACTTAAGACCAAATCAGGATTGTTTATATATATATATATATATATCTATTAAGTCCACTTGTGGTTGTCCCGCATCGAAAATAAATAAATAAAAATAAAAATACTTGAACCATTATCAATTCCTATAAAAGCGTATTCATCCTATCAATTTGCCTTAAGCAATACACTAATTATTTGTAAATTTACAAATTATTTACAAATAAAAATTGCTTGAAAGTAAGGTGCAAGTTTGACTTGTTTGGTAATTGAATGAGTAATAAATTATTGAGCTACATGAGTAGCTCTTTTTTTTTTAATGCACCCACCTGTATACCTGATTGACACACTCGTACAAACCTCAAATTACATTGCAGGCGGTTGTGGGTCTAATTTTTTCAACCCACATGGTTGTGGGCGGATCCAACCCGCAACCAGAACCAACCAAAATCATCCCACGACCACCGTAATAGTGATGGATGGTAACTGTCTAAAAAAAATTAGTGGTAGAGGGTAGTGGTAGCAACAGAGTTGTGGTGGTATTGTAATTCTAATGGGTAAGACTTTAGCTTGAAATTTTTTCTCACATTTCAAAAGCAAAAAATCTTCTCTATTTAACTAAACTTGTTTTTTGTTAATAATAAAAAACATTTTTTATTAATTGTCGTCTTCTATCATACTAAACATTAAAAAATATAAATAATATTTTTAAAAGACATTTTCTAACAAAACATTTTAAAAAATATGAATAATTCATTCCCTCAAATATTGAAAATGAAAACACAATCGAACAAGCACGTTTCTTGCAAATTTCAAATTGAATGAACTTTTCTTCCCCTTATTTGCAAGAAAGCAAGAGAGACGTGGTATAGTGGGACCGTGAGA